AAACACTAGTAAGCTTTATTGAATCGACCCTAACAAGCTATGCTAATCATATAAAGTACGAATCTTCAAGGAATTGAGCTTTTGTCTAGAGAGAGAGAGAGTGATATAATAAGTGTTTTGTCGTGTTTTCTGTACCGTTATTCTGCTGGCTACTACAGAATATCCTTCCAGTGGAACGAAATCTAGTTATGTGCATATCTAGTTAACAATTAGCTGTACGGTTGGACGTCACTAGATTTAAAAAAATTGTCTATATTTTTTGTTGCATATGATCTTGATTTGAGGCAGGTTTGGTTCATCTGCCTATCGGTTCCTATTTTTGTTGTTATTTTATGATTAGCAAGACTGTACAATAGGCTGCACATATCAAATCTTATTGTGGGATCCGAAGGATTAGTGCTATGTTTATCCTATATATTAGCTCCATACTTTCTTTCAATAGTTTCTTGGTCCAGAATTGGAAAGTAGAGTTTTAAACAATAATCTTCTTTATCAAACTTGTAGGTTGATTTGAAAATAATTGCTTCTCATGTGAAATCTCCATATTGGTCCTAACAAAACTGTATTTATACGGTACTTGAATAGAAGAAAAGCTCTGTTAGTACCTGACCCAATCAACTAAAATACCCCATTCAATTATGAACATTGCAGTTTCTTTTAATGAATATTCTGTTAATAAAGTTGCTTACGCTGTACCTCACTTACTGTATCTTAACTTCAGTATACCTACGTCTATAGGAAATGGGCAGTAAAATTCTGATTGTTTTTTTATCTGATGCATTTTTTAGTTTTTAGGTATAAACACATAATTGCAAATTTGTTCACATTTAATATGAATTTTTTCAACAAAGACTGCAATATATTTTATTTTAAGGCTTCGTGTTTTTTCTGTGTTCATGTCAATTAAGTGCTTGTATAATAAATTTGTGGCTGTTATACATAAATTTTTTTATTATTATGCATGTCATATTTTTATTATAGATAATTTTTTTTATATTATATCGTTTTGTTTGCATTTAACTTTTAATTGTCAGTATCTGTCGGGATGCACTCATAACAAGGCAAATGGGCAATTTTCGTATTGTGCATTCAAAATGCACTGCAGTATCTCAACGCGGCAAACAATTGATGTTTTTTTATATGCATTTTTCAAATTTTGTTTTTGTATGTTTTGGTCCATGGGTTGGTAATACCGTAGACATGTTAGCGAAAACACTTCCGCAGGATAATTTCTGCTTTTGACAACGAGTGCTGTTCTATCGTAGCCAAGAGGACTTTTTCGTTTCATTATGCCATTAACATATGCTTTTTGTTGCTTTTTGTGCAGAAGTTGCTCTTAATAACAATTTAGCATTATGAATTCACATAAAATTTAATAAAAATTAAATCGTAAGTGACTGTAGTTAATTTTAAGTGCGACAGTAGTATGGGGAATATATAAAAAATCATAGAAAAATATGGAAAATTTTGTGTAAAATTTTTCAAGTATCTTTTTAATTGATTAACTAACGTCATTGCTGTTTGGCGTTAATGAAGTAGTTGAAGAATAAAAAGAGTTGAATATAAAGTGATGCTACTAGGAACAGATGCTACTTATGAAGCAAAACACGACGATCTGAATTGTTCTTCTTCACAATAAAGATTTCCTAAAGAAAGATATTTTGCTTGCCGGAAAGTTCCCCTGATCACCGACGAATTGATGGAGATTTGTTACTCCTTTATTGTCTTCGTGACCTAGTGCCAAGGTGAACAGTCACACACTGTGAAAAACTTTATTCATTACATAAAATTTACTTTATTTTATGTGTCTTTATTTTTAAGTAGAAAGAACAATTTTTATCTAATATTTTACATGCTGTTGAATTTGAGAACATTGCAATTATTGTTTGAATAAATATAATTGTTGTCTCATAGTTGTAATTATTGTTCCAATCAGAATAAGATAAAACTTTTGTTCAATCAATCAAAACTAGAAGATAAAGTAAAAGACTAAAAGTAAAAGTTTCGCAAACTGTTAGTAGGTCTAATTTTCAGCTATCAATATCTTGTTAGAATTGTGTCACAAAGGTGGCCTATTCGGGAAGCTATTAGCTATAGGTGGCATACTCGGAAATCTATTAGCTAAAGGTGTTAAATCGAAGTTGCTTCTTTGTAATCAAGTAAACGATGTACTATCTCGAATATAAACAATCGAATCATAACATCGTTCAAGAAATTGGGAAAGAAGAGGAATAACACGCGTAAACTCTCACCAAGCAATATATAAAGTTGAACTTTCTACATAAAATCTGTCTATTAACATACACACCCATCGATTGTATTCCAAAGTAAATTACGGAGATTAATTAGCCAATGGTCTTTAAGTCAACTAGGATAAAACTAAATTTATAGGAATATATTTAAATGCGAATTTATTCGCATAATTAGGGAACCCTATGCATTGCCTTTACGAAAACATCGAGGAAGTGCATAATTTTTGTTATCTCGGAAGCATAATTTCTAGTGAAAGGGCACAATTTTAGTGCAATCGATTGTAAAGAATAGATTCTTTTATGACATTTTGAAGTATTTATCGATAATTCCAAGCTTTTTAAAAACTTAGTTCGTTTTGGAAGTGATAGTAGGGAAACTCAATATTATAGTACAATATGTAGTGTCAACATGTAGAAGATTAACTCTGAATTTATCGATAAAATCTCTACCATGTTCGATTCCATGATACCATGATAAGAATATTATTTCATTATAAATATAACAGTGACCCAAAAATTAAAGAATCTGGAATGTATGTTGTGTATAACTTATTTTATTCTGAAGAAAATTATTCAAATATTTATTTCTATCTATTTCGTTTTGTGAGATCTATATGTAGGCACTTAAATCATCATCAATATGTATGTCTTTTATTCAGAGACGTATATAAAAATACTAGAATTTTCTTCTAGAACCACTGAGCCTTAATATTACTCCATAAAAAAAAACTGCTTTAGATTTTTTATTTGTATATAAAAAACTCTTATTCTACTAAACTATGATGAAATTTGTTGCACTTTTATTAAAATACACATTTTCTTGGAAGGGTTTGTTTATTTGCTTTGAATATTTCCTTTGAACCGACATAAAATTCAAGGATTTATTTTTAAAAAATTTAATTTTAAATAAAATAAATATAAACAAGATTGAAATATTGTAAATTAAATTTGTCTATTTAAATATTGTTTCATCAACTCAAAATACCAAATAAACATAAAAATTTAGTCATAACATGTGTGTGAATTTTTTATAATTCAATGGAACGAAATGTTCACTAATCCTTGGAATCCTTAGAAGTATCTGCGAGCAAAGAAACATGATACAAATTCCGAAAGTAAACACAAATTTGTTTGGTACGAACGATTTTAAAATTTCTGAAATATATTGACACTGTTAAATAATTTGCTTTATTATTATTTGGCAACAACATTCCGCAGTTCTCAGAAAAGTATATTAAAAATTTGTTTGAACAGAGCAAACACGCAGATACAACAGCAGATACAATTCATTACTGAAGCTGTTTTATGAATGTTGAGAGCAGAAATAAAATATTTATTGTTTGAGCTTTCAAAAGAAGTATAAGTAAATAAATATGCACGAGCTTAGATACGTGAACACCTACGCGAATTCACATCTCCACGGATTTCACCTTCAATATTGAGATTTTGACTTATGAGGAAGAAACATATTTTTAAGAGAATAGAGTGTATAGGAAAGGTGTTAGTGGTTAGTGTCGGTTCTATAATTTATTATGCTTTTAAGGACGTAATTACTTAGAATTTATTTGTTTTTAATAATATAACGGGCGTAGTGTATTTCAATCAACTATAAATCAAGAATCAGCTATAGGTTCTATAAATCTATACATCTTATTCATATAGTAATAGCAGTGAAGCTGTGTGAAAAGTAGGAATATGAGTTTATAAAATAATACATGTTATAGACAATAGACAGCCTCTTCTGAAGTAAGATCTCAATTTGATTTGGTACGGTAAGTAACTTAATAATAACTAAGTAAGTCAGCTAATGAACTAAGATAGCAAATTGAATGACTGTTAGTAAAATATACGAGAAAAGACATCTGTATATATCATTGGTTTTTGACAACAAACTCTGATTGCGTCAGCAAACCTTTGATTTACTGGACTGGTTGGCAGAGCCTACTGGTGCCGGCCAAGGATGATGCACGCCTATAGATGTCAACTAAGTATGTTAGCTAAGATAACTGGTGAATAATAGGTAGCAAATATTCGATAAGTGTTTGATTTGATACCTGTTAGTAGAAAAACAATAAGTCCCTGATTGTGACTCCAAACTCTAAAAAAGGCCCAGCTTATGAAGGTTACAAGATCCGTCTATAATTTCCAAGTGAGTAAGCACAGGTAGGATACATATGGAATGAGCTCATGTTTTATTCTATTTAATGCATTACTTATATAAGAATATATAACATTTACTGCAATAAATTTCAGAATAAACGCTTAAGTTTAAACGTTATTAGTAATATTTTTAAACTGTCTTTCATATTTAGCAACAACAGTTAAGTGATTCTCTTCACTTAATTTAAAGTTGTAAGAAATTTCTAAACTAATTATAATCGTAAACTAAAGTAGAGTCAAAAAGAAAAAGATATCAGAAAGTTTTGATCCAGAAAACTTACTTTTTAAAAATTCTTTGTCTACAAAAATTCTACCACAGTTTTTGTTTTTAAAGCAACAGGAAGAAAAAAATAATAGGAAAAGGATAACAAATATAGTAGAGAAAATATCTAGCGAAAAACAAAGTTTAGAATTGAAAAGTTTTGTAGTTTGTTAGTATGTTTTGTTAATAAGCGAAAAAAGGTTGGTTAGCAAAGATAAACAAAAGTACGTGTTGTTAGATAAACTCTTGCCGGTCGATATTTTTGTTAACTTAAACGTCGGTGCTATAAATCTTAAGTTGCATTCTTTTCTGTGGATTTTTCATACCGAGTCTGGCTTGCATTAAACGTTTGGACCATTCACCATAAGCGTTGGTGTGTGCTGTAATGCAGGTGGTTACTGGCGAGGATGACATCGAAGTCGCAACGGTACAATCAAGCAAGGGGATCATTACATCGCCTGAGAAAGTAATTTTGAATTTTATGTGGGCAAAGAGATAATAAATAAAATTTTCTTCAACAAATGTACAAAACAAATTTATTTAATTTCTAAAATTTTTTAAGGGATTTGATTGTGCACTTCTATTTGTTACATGCCAATTAGAGTTTAGTTAAATACGTGATTAGTACGGGCCTTGAAAGTTAGTCTATATGGATTATCAATATTATTCATATGAGCTACTTTTTAAATCAAGCTTAACATATAGGAATTCATTAGAATATTAGATATAATACTAAGCTACTTTATTTTGTTTTTAGTACGATTATGACTAATAAAATATTTTAATTAGCTTTAAAACACTTTTTATTAGAATTATTTGGTGAGTTTGTTTTTTTACTACTAAAAGAGTAAACTTTGGATAATAGGAACTGAAAAGGGGCACTATAAATACATATTAATTGTATTTTACTTATATTTTACTATAAACGTGAAAATGAAAAGTAATTAAAAAAAATAATTAAGGTTAAAAAAGTAACCTGACTTTAATTAAGTTTATTTTAAGAATAAAATCTCGTTCAACATTGAAAAAATTAATAGAATTCAGTAAATTTTTACCATGAATAAATCTGAAAGTAATATTCAATTGAAGTTTTTTTAATATAACAGAATTTCTAATAACAATAAGACTTGTAATAACAGCGTCCAACCATTTAATTTATCAGAGGATGAATTTAACTGGATTACGTAGCTCAAGTTTAAAGTAAGTTAGAATTATAAATTTTTATCAAAAATACGATGTAATATTATGTTTGAAGTTAGAATTATTTTTATGTTAAGAAAACATTGAAATTGGAAAGGAATATATAACCTAATTAAAAGATATTGAGAATATTTAGAAGGTCATATTTCAGTTTTATTAGTCCACCATTAAAATAAGAGATGTTAACATCATTTCAGTATATTGCATTAAATTTTATCTATTTTTCGAGTTCAAAATTTAAAGTATATCAATCGATTGATTTTCTCTTAAAAATACTAATTTTAATAATGTACAGTCCAATAGAAAAAATTAAATTTTTTAGTTTTGTTTAAAATATAATAAAAAGTTAAAGAATACTAATATATCTCAACTTAGCAGAATATACTCAGTTTTATATGTGAAGCCCTAAATTTACCTAATACGAATTTTTAAACAGTGACAGAAGCAATTTAGTTTGTTTTAGGATATTCAGCCATTAGACTTAAGAAAGTCACTGTGTCAGCTATTGAAGACATTTTAATATTAGTTGGGAATTTGAACTCCTGTTTCAGTAGTGGCCTTGTTTAGATCAATAGTTATATCTTGGCACAAATCAACATAATATAGTCACACAAAAATTGACTAGATTACTGAACTAATGTGTAATGTGTATAACAGACATAGCAAAATTTAATTTAGAACTTTTCTTTTCATTAGATAGATAGAATAAAAATATTGTTTTAATTTGGCAATTGCAACTTGATATATTAACCATTCTTTAAGTCTATACAACATCATCCAAACCAAAAACCTGAACCCCTATTAGATGATTTCTTCCGTGGTTAACTCATTTTAAAAGGAAATGGAAAGATATTTCAATTACTTTTAAACGACAAATAGTAGCTAAATGACTAAATACTAATAAAGTAAAATTAAAATAATTTAATTTTAATTAAAAACTTTATATTTATTTAAAAATATAAATCTCTAATATTCTTACATGCAAATTAATATCAATAAAGTCACATTAACATAAGTTATTAAAAAAAAGAAGAAAATAAATTAATAGTAATATTTATTTAATAGCTAACAATTAAAATTAATAACATTAATGATTTTCTTTGACGAAAAAAAAAAATAATAATAATTATAAATAAATTTTTTATATACAAAATTTGATTAAACTTATTATTGAAGACAAATAAAAATATAATATATATGAGCTTTTGTATGTACAGCAAATAAAACTTTAAGACTCTACATTACTGTCTAAGTCAACCTATAGTTGAATAGGTTTAATAATGTGTTACTATACTTATACTGTCTATAAGGAGTACTTAAGATTACATTTATTCAAAAGATTTATATATAATAATAACTTTTTGATTTATAAATAACTATTGCTATATTTTATATAACTATAGTTGTTTATTATCAAAATTTAAGTTATATATGAGAATATCTAAAAGAATCTCCATAATCAAGTCAAATTTGGCTATATATATAGAAAAAACTTTTTAAATATTAGTGACACGGTCACCTATAGCTTAGGAGTGAATTGTAGGCGGTGAGTGATTTATTTTTATATAGATAGATATAATTAATATATGGAGATAGATGGATACATGGAGACTTTCGCTAACTCAAATATAAATTGTACTTCCGATTTAGTGATTTTTTTAAAAGAAAATGTACACTACTTTCATTTGAGTGATATGTAAAATTTTAAGTAATAATTGTCAAAATTTGCTAGTTAAGTATGTGTACACGTCACTGAAGCAACTTTAAAGACTAGTTTCTATTATATATATCATTAATTTTAAAGCACTACTGCATAGTACAAATAAGTAATATTACATTATATAAATAAATTAAAAATAAGAAAACTATATTGTGCAACATAAAAAGTGCAGTTCTGGACGTGCTGTCAATAGATGCAACTACAAGTACTACGTCTAATGCACTACAGCAAATGCATATAACTACAGCTACAGTTTATTAAGTATTGATTTTGGAATAGTACCGTTCAGACTTGGTTGCGCATACTGTATGAAACCCTCGGATATATAGTGATGTTGACTGCTAGTGGTGCTAGCGCTGCAACGTGGACCCAACATTGCTGGAGCGCCACGTACACGTATTTCAGCTGCACGCCCACCGACTGCCGCATCCTCATCGTTCAGTTCATCTTCTTCGATGTACATGGAAGGTACATCATTGCGAGCAGGCCTGTAACGAAGAGAGGTGGTGTTATTAATTATAATTATATTAATTATAAAACAATTATCCAAAGAATTAAAAAAACACAATATGTTATGTGTCACATTGTGGAGTATAATTGGTTTTACATTAATCCGTAGCGTTCATGAAGTTCATACTCTTATCTACTACTGAGTGTAATGTAAATATGTTATACAGTTGAATTGATTATTTAAAACTGTGCCAATTAATTTTTAAATATTTTAAAATAAAATAAAATAAAATAAAATAAAATGGGAAGGAAACTATACAAACATATGAAAAAGAAATTAATTGGCTTTTATTTGCAAACTAATTGAATTCAGCTTCAGCTGCATATGCTGCAGAGCGTGAATCGATTAAATATTTTAGTATCCTTGTATCGCATTTATTAAAAAAATTTTTCACAACTGCAAAAAAATATTTTAATTATCTGCATAATACTATGAAGTATTGTATATATATCGGTGTCGTTTAGCAATAATAATATATCAAACAAATATTGTTAAATTCGAAATGGGAAAATAAAGTACAAGTGAGAGAGTATAAATTTAATCGCGAAATTACGGATACTCAACAAAAACTGAAATATTCGTAATAAATGAAATGCAATCCATATAAAAATAAAAAATTCATTAAAAATAATTTGAGATTTAATAGTATGGAAAGTAATGGTTCCACATTGCCACTAAAACGGATATGTACTCGTATAATGCAACAATAATAAAACGATTTCCTTTCAATTGTTTTTATATTTAATTCATCCATTTTATATAAAAAAATATTTGTTTAGTTTATTTTAATTGAAATGTATTTTTGAGTAACCAATTTGAATAAACTGAATATTTTATTTTATAGTATTTATTTTGTAATTTAATAATAAGTTCAGATACTAAATCTTCACATCCTTCAATGGCTTAGATAAACTCTAACCAACTTCACGTGTGTATTTATATCTTTGAATCCTTACAGTTTGTTTGCAGTTCCTAAGCCAGTCTATTTGTCTGTGGCTTGTATGATGACTTGAATGTAATGCCAAATATTGAATTGATTAGCAAATACATTAAATTGTATCTAAATCGAATCAATCAATAAATTGATTTAATTAAACTAATTGAAAGGAAAAGTATTGAATGGTATTTACCAGGAAGAGAAGTACTTCGTTGCATATTGTCAACTACAAACATGGGTGGAAAATATTGGAATTTGACAGTGAGCGCGTATTTAGAAAGCATTCCTACATACTACTAATATGCAAATACTAATATTACTGGATATGAAATACTCTAAAACACTTAATAATATATTTCTTATTTGAGTCTGTAATTAAATCTATGATGATATTGTCTACAGATATTGTATACTCTTGTGTGAAAATTCATATCTTAAAGCAAATCAAATCAAAAAGCAACAAAGACTATTTTAGATTTAAAAATTTCTGATAACATCAAATACTCAAATATAAGCTTTAAGTAAACATTCAAAATTCAACCCGATTATTGTACACAAGTAATTGATTTAACAACTAATTATGGGGATTTTAAATAGATAATGGGATTAAAATTGTGAATAGCCAAAGTAGTTTCACAAGCACCAACATACAATGCAAATATAAACCAATAAATGGATTAAGATGGATTAAGAAGAATCGCTATAAATATACGAAAAACTCACCTATTTGACACACTTGGACCACCATTAAACTACAACTCAATATAATGAAATCAATATTTTCTTGATAATGAATCTCGTGAAGTATTAAGACACGATACCATATTTAGCTGCTTGTCTTTGAATATTTTCTTAGCAGGTTTCAGACCATCTCCAATGCTCGATTAAAATACACCTTTTCGCTACATCAGTTGGCAACTCCCAGTATAGTTCAATTGTATGGAATATAGTAGCCAGCGTCTGTAGCTTAATTGAGCTATTAGGTATTATTTGTTATGTATACATTATACTAATGTACTGATGGAGACGTATTTTGTTTCAGATTATAATTCTTAGCTGAAATACGATTTTAATCGACGGACTAAAAGGAGATGGGTACTTTTCTTTTCAACACCTCTATAATGTCATTTAACCGTATTAAATTTAATCTAAGTATATTTAAAACTATTTAACAGATCTTTTAGATCTTCTTTCTAGAGTTACAGCGTGATTAAGGCTGTAATACCATTTAATATTGTCAAGTCTATAAGACTTGGGGTGATAATAAATGATTATTAATTTTATCTGGTCAAACTGCTCATAGTTAAGTCTTTTTTGGGTACACTTAAAAACTACTTCATTACAATTTTTTTCAAAATATCGAAAGTTAGTTTAAAACTGATTATTAGCTTGTGAAAAGAATACCGTCATATTTTAATAGATTACTTAAGAAGATTAAAAATACTAATTTAAAACGGATTTTTTGAGAAATAGTTCGCGTTATATTGAATCGAAAGCTTTTCTTTCTAAGTCTATATATAAAATTTAAATTATCTTCTCCTTATATTATCATCATCATTGTTAGTGATTGAAATAGTTCGGACAGAGGTTTAATCGTCATAAGGGATCTCTACAACTATTACTGGCTGTTGCTCACCAATTGTTGAGCAGATTCTGTATCATCTGCTACGTTACGTTACATCTGCTATACTTACTATTAGACCAGCTTATTTACGTAAGGTAGCTTACTAGCTGCCTTGCTCGGTTATATATATTAAAATTACTTTCCTCGTTTGTCGTAACGAATAGCTCTATGTCATGATGAGTTTCTCTGTCTTCAGCATTTTTAGTGATTACAAAAACTGACATTGAGCTTTACCCATATTAAGAAGTCTTTTCCATCTACCACTTCCTCATACTGCCAGTTAATTAATGTTGGGCTACATCCATCAACTGTCTATAGTTATTTACACTTTACTGTCTTTGTTGTCTTTCTTATCTTCTTGATCTCAAGAGTTGTCGTTTCAATATTTTGTGAAGTTTATTGTTTACATCGGTAGTTAATAACATATGTCTACTGCCCATTTGATTTGAGGGTTTTTATGTTTATGTTGATATCTAACATTTGCACAATTCGTTTGAATGCATAAATAATTTAGTGCTTAATTGAAGTTTAGTATTTTGAATTTTCAATGCAGATTTCAATAAATTTTTCATAGGGTTTCAGATTAGTATTGTAGATACTGAAAAATTTAAATGAATTTTCCCAAATATACATTCAAAACTATTTCAGTCATTTGCTTAATGAGATAATTTTTGATTCAATGCAGTTGAGCATAAGTCATCAATAATACATATCAACGATTTGGTTCAAATAGCGAATGCCATGACTAATTAAGGCTCAAAGTCCAGCACAAAGTGATTTAAGTACTTTTATAATTGTAATTAAAATAAAATTGTGTTATTCCATATATAATTTGGCTAATCGAGGACCGGGCAATATTGAATTGCAATTATGAAACCATAAATGCCGTTTAGGTAATTACACGAGTGCAGTGACATTTGCGGGGCTGTTGCATTTTGATGCTGCGTTTTTGTGCTGATATTGAAAGCTAATTAAGATCCATCCGACTTCACTGCATACACAAAGAAATGGCAAACCATAAATCGCATTTCAGTTGTCACTAATCATTTAAATTAATGCCGGTCTACTTCGTTCCCGCCGCTCCTACCGCTCCTGCCGCTCATCGGTGCAATGAGCCACGCATTTGTGGCAATGAGAAGTAAACAATATTTATACACAAATTACAATATTCTGTGGTTGTATTGGCAACTAATCAATATTATAGTAATTATCCCTGTTGTTGGTGTTGTTGTTGTGTTATCCTTTATTATCCAAAACATAAATTACGGGTTCATTTCGTTAGTAATAGATTTTTGTTTAATTCCATTTATTTTCGAGTGTGCTTCCATTAATTTATTTACATTTGTTCGGAATATTCGCAATTTTGGTTAAAATTCGTAAATAATAAATTTAGATAAACAAATATTTTACTGATGCGATAAAAGTATGATTTTTGGCATTTGTGGAATAGTACCATATTGCGTTGGGTTTACATTTTTCTAATTAATATTTTGTCTATCAATCAAAAATTTTTTTGTGATCTTTAAAGTAGTCGGCATCGAGTGCAACACAACAATTATGATGCTTGACCTGCTCCTGCATAGATTTTTCTTAGGATAACAGAGGAATGGTCTCAGCAACTTTGAAACGATGGTTCACAACTGCCCTTCTCTTGTGGTTGAACTTGACATAGTCATTTTAAATATAAGATTAAAATAATCATCGTTGCTATACACAACTGATTTGAAGCTATCTCATTATGCCAAACTTAAATGGCTTAAGAACGGTTGTGTTGATAATGAAATATGTCATCTATACAGTTCTATGCAATACTGCAAACTATGGAGCAAGAAGCTTCCCTAAAACCAGCTTTTATGTCAAGGTTAAAGTCAGTTGCAGCAACGAGTACTTCTTATTGCTTGACTAGAAATATCTAAGTCAGCTATATAACTTTCTTTCACATATTTTTTTTTCAAGCTCAGCTTCATTTTAATTGATATCACAAAATATCAACCATGATCCTATTGATAATTTTTATCACTTGTTCAGAGATATCTAACGCAGGTATATGGCTTTCTTTTTATCTTTTACATAGTTCCCCTTTAGTTGATATCACAAAATATCAACCATGGTCTTACTGCTTCGCTGTTGAGAACCAGTACCCCACCTTGTTAATTAGCCTTGTTTCAAACGTTTATATCTCTGCATTATTTACTATATTCGCAATGCCCCACTTCATTAAAAGTCAATATCGTGTTAATATATGTTTCGGAAGTACAAACTCTCCGCAAATCTTTTAACTCGATTTCAATGATGTGAAGTCCGTTGTTCCTATTATCGCTCGAACCGTAGTTTTCGAGGCCTGGGATATAAAGTCCAATACAAAAGATACTTCCCATGATTGTCATAATTAACCTTTTACCTCACCAGTTTTAAC